GGCCGGAGTTGGGGGGATGTCCTTGGCCTTCCCTGTGGGCCGGAGGCAAATCCCCTCCCTGTCCTTCTTGCTTCCTGCCCCAGGCCCCGAGCTGAGGACGGAGAGCCTGGAGGACAAATCCCCCCGTGAGAAGCTGGTGGGAGAGGCCGTTTTGAAGGGCTCCACGGCACAGGAAGGCAGCGGGGAGGAAAAGGGCCGGAGATCCCCCCGCAGGAGGGGCTCCAAAGCCAGCCCAGGGTGCCCTGAGGAGGAAAGACCCAGCCTGTGCTGGGAAGGCGGCCAGAGCTTGAGGCAGAGCTCCGACCTGATGGTTCCTGAGCAGCCTCCCAGCAGGGAGAAGCCCTTCAGGTGCTTGGAATGTGGGAAGAGCTTCAGGAAGAGCTCCAACCTCCTCAAGCACCAGCACATCCACACTGGGGAACGTCCCTACACTTGTAGGGAATGTGGGAAGAACTTCAACCAGAGCTCCACCCTGATGCGACACCAGCTCATCCACACTGGGGAACGGCCCTACACATGTGGGGAATGTGGGAAGAGCTTCAGGCACAACTCCAGCCTCTGCAAACACCAGCGCATCCACACTGGGGAACGGCCCTACACGTGTGGGGAATGTGGGAAGAGCTTCAGTCACAGCTCCCATCTCTGTGCCCACCAGCTCATTCACACTGGAGAACGGCCCTACACGTGTGGGGAATGTGGGAAGAGGTTTCCGACCAGCTCCAGTCTCCTCCTGCACGAGCGGACGCACACGGATGAGAGGCCCTTCCGCTGCACCGACTGTGGGAAGGGTTTCAAGCAGAACTCCCACCTCGTCACCCACCGTTGCATCCACACCGGGGAGAGGCCCTACAAGTGTGGGGAGTGTGGGAAGAGCTTCACCCAGAGCTCTAACTTGACCAGACACCAACGGACCCACCAGTAAGGGAAGTCCTACCAGTGCCCCGACTGCAGGAAGAGCCTCGGTTGCTGCTTCCACCCCGAATGAAGCCCCTGATGTTGAGGCAACCCCTGGAGTCCAGTGACTGTCAGTCCATCCCTTTCGACCACAAAGGGCCAGTCCCCTTTCCCAGGGGCAGCTTCTTCCAACAGAACCCTTCTTGGGGGGTGTGTGGAGATTCCTGCCTTGGCTGGGGACCCCCCAAGGTCAGTTCTGGAGGTTGAGAGCAGAGATCTCCCCAGGAGCTTTGGTCTGGGGGAGTTCCATCCATCTTTAATTAAGAATTATTGCTTTTGTGCCAGCTTGAGTAGAATTGCTTCAAGAATTGCTTTAGTGTAGAGCACTGTCCTATCTTGTGCTCCTGGTGGTTTTAGTGTTTGTATTGTGCAGTAAATAATTCTGATGAAGATCTTTTGTCTGATCATTTGTATCCCTAAATAACTCATTTCTATCAATAGATCTGATTTGCCATCATTAAAACCTGGGGGACAAAGGTGTTTCAGTCACACCTCTGTAATTCCTCTAAACTGAAACTGTTGTCAGAATCCAAGGCTGAGATTGAATCCAGCAGCCCCCAGCACCCCAGAAAAGGGGTTAGGTGGGGTCCTTGGTGGGCTTTGAGTGTGTTTGGGAGTCCTTGAGGGGCCATGGGGAGGTTTTGCGGGGTCCCAGCACCTTTTGGTGTGAACTGGGTGCTTTATTGAGGGGCAGGTGCCCTCCCTAATCCCACCCAGAGCGGGTTGACATGGGGGCACACAGGGGGTTCCCCATTCCCGATCCATCTCAGGCCGGTTCTGCCCCCCCCCAAACTCGGCTCCACCCCTTGGGATTCCCCCAAGCCCCTCCTCCACTGCCCCCCAATAACCGGGACTGGGCAGGAAGCGGGGAGGGCCCGGCGGTGTCTGATAGAAATAAATCAAGGCATCTCTCTCTGTCTTTTACCTCCTGGGCAGTGACCATCAAGAGGCGTCCCTGCTTCACAGCAGAAGCTCCACACACTTCAACAAAGTCTGTGGAAGAATCTGCTCTATGAAAGTTGGCCCTGGGCTTTTATGCTTATCCAGTGATGGATCTCCAGTCACATATTGCCAGGCCAGTGAGCAGCTGATCTGTCAAACTCTGCTTCCAAAAGCAGGATGTGTGTTGGAAGGTTGGGGAACCAGGCTGGGTTTGGCACAATTCAGCACTAAACCAACCCCTTGGCACCAGCAGTAACTCCCCACAGAGAGCTTGCAGTGCTTGCATTCTCTCATCAGATTCTTTTCCAGGTAGAACATCCTGCTACAAGGGGTCTGTTAGCACCCGCCCCAGAAAGGGAGGGTAACCCAGGTTCTTAAAAAATCCCTTGGGGTGGATTAGAGTGAAACGACACTTAATAATGAGTGTTTGAAAATATATATATATGTAGGGTTTATTTTAGAACAATTTTGTTTCAAAGGTAAACAGGTATGTTGCCATTTTGGGTGTTATCATCTCTATCTCTCATCTACAGCAATATGGCATAAAGAGAACCTCTAGGGAAAATGCATAAGGGAGAGAAAGGAAAGACAGGATAAGAGTAAGGGAGAGTAAGGGAAAGCAAAGCTGAGAGTGGAAAGATGTCTATAGTCACCACCCACGGGGTCCAGTGATGGAACTTGGTAGTTGCAGCTTCCATGTCTGTCAGTTGAAGTGGTGGCCTTGATCCGTTGGGGGTGGAGGAGGGAAACCCCCACACTGCAAGAAGTTATGAGTTATTATATCCATGGATGGTGTCCTGGGCCATGCCACGAACCCCCAACATCTCCTGGGCCTGCGCAGAGTTCCCGTGAGGGGCCTGGGAAAAGGGTTTTTCCTGCCTTTCAAGGTTGGTGGAGGGGGGGATGGGCTTTGATGGGCCATCAGAGGTCTAATGCAAAAGTCCTGCAAAACCCTACAAAAGTCCCTTGGCAATCCTAGAATGCATAAATCATGAACCATTTCAGTCTCTGACACCACCCCGTGATTTATGCATTCAATAATTTCTCTTGTTGTTCACTGTGAATCTTCTTTGTGGGCAGTGCCTTTTGGGTAGTGGACAGAAAGAGAGAAGAGTAAAGAAAAGGAAGAGAGAGCATAAGTCTTTTCCCAGTGCAATGCAATTCCCAGGAAAAACCCCAAACCTTACAGTAAAATAGTAAGCATATGGGACATAACAGGATCTCAATAGCTACCATCAAATTTCCTAACACTAACAAAGTTACAAACATCAGGATTTAATACTGACCCAAATCTAATTTTCATTAGCCACTGTCTCCACCCCGTGAGTAATCAGGTATCCTTTAATGCATGGTGTGTGTGAGGGATTCTATAATAACGTGTCTGTTAGAGGAGCCAATGTGTCTTGAAATTGGACCTGAAATTACACATCAGTTTTTATGCAAATACATTGAGTTACTTGGGAGTTGGTACAAGGCTTTCTTATATTCTCTTTAGGTCACACTTTCTTTTCTTTTGTCTAGATTTAGTTTTATTTGTTAATATTTTGAGAAGTTTAGCCAAATATAAAATTTGATGCCTTCTGAGGCAGAGGGTTAATGCATCTTATACATATTTGTATGATTCCAAATATGCATAAATTCTTGTACCAACTCCCAGGCTAAATTTGGTGGAGTTTCAATTGATTGAGACAGAATTATACATATCTAAAAGCTTCTCCCAAGCCAATTTGTTTTTCAATAAAAAGACAAAATAACCTTGACAAAAATTAAACTAGCAATACATAAAATGGCTTGTCTTACACAATCTTACTAGTGAGTTGCTCATGATAAAAACACCAATAAGTCAACAATTATTAATAAGCTGAAAATACAAGCAATTTGGGAGTAGAGGAGATGCAAACACAATGTTTGTGGTAAACTTTTACATATTGCAAAACTACTGAGACAAAAATACACACAGACGTGCACATCACAAAGTTATTAAGACAAAAATACAAACACATGCAAACCATCAGTGCTGCAAAGAACAGTAGAACTCTCCAGTCCTGTTGTCACTTCGTTTTCTCATGGCATACTTGTAAACTGATAACTGAAGCAGTTGTGGGGGCAGTTCTCTCTTCTGCCCATTGTGGCAATTGAAAGCTTTATCGCTCTCACACAGTTTGATCTCATCTGCTGGCAGGTTCCTGTAAAAAGAGGAAATCTGGCCCACTATGGACCCATTATTAAAAAGAAGGAATTATCTATTTACCCAACTCCTTTTCTTATCTGGCATGATGCCACCAGGGCAGCAATAATGGAGAAGTCTGGAACATGTTTTCTCCAAAAAGCAAATAAACCCAGAGCATGCTGGAGCTCCTTTTTACTCCTCAGCATCTTTATTTGCTGTAGGGTGGCCAAGGTGCCAGAGGGAATACACACAGCTACTTTTCCTGTGGGAATTTGAAGTCAATGTGTCAAACTGTGGGGTTTATTAATTGAGACAGAGAAGCAGATATGTTTCTGAATCTTAGTTCTTTCTCTGTGTCCACTCAATCCCACACGCCTCAAGCCCTGCACTCACACAATATATTGGGAGTGTTTTAAGATTACTTTTAATTGAGCCAAAGAGGAAGAAAAAAATTAGTTTGAATCTTGCACCAGAGCCAAAAAGACACGTGCCCCAATTTCACTGAAATGCATCTACTCTAAGAGGCTTATCTAAACTAATCATTCAAATTAGCTGTAAGAAGGTACATTCAAGAAAGCTCCTTTGAGGGGGTTGTGGGGTGGACAAAGCATCCACAAAAAAAACCAAACACCAAAAAAAGCCCAACCTAACACCCAACTTATCATGTCTTTATATATTTTATAAAAAAGTGTCACTGTAGTAAAAGCTGTAGAAACTGCATTCTTACATTTCTGAAGCTATCTTACACTATACACAGTGCACTGATCTATAAACCATATCTGAAAGGGGACCCTCCCCTGTTTATTTTCTTTTATTTACCCCAGAACATTCCAGTGGGTTTTCCCTGCGCCCCCTTCCCAAACTGTGCTCCCACCAGCCAGGCTGTTTGCTACTGCCCGGATCATTTCACCAACGTGCAATCGCCGCCATTCACTTTTCATGCCTGGCTCAGGGGCAGCAGCCTTGGAACAAAGCCTTGGAAATCTTTTATCCGTGCACGGGATGACTGGAACCATCACTTACATCAGGGTTATCTCTACATGCTGTCCTTATGTTGTCTGACATCTAATGCATGGTTTTTAAAACAATAGATTTAAAGGGGTTGCACTTTTTAAAGGTGCAAGGAACACTCAATTCAGCACTCACAGTTGAATAAATAACACTCCAATAAATACCGACATCAGAAAAGCATCGATTTTAAGTCCTGAAAACCAGAAAAGGGACTTTCCACATGGGTGTCCTGTCATCCATAACTAGAAGGGAAGAATTCAATAGAATAAAGAAGTCTATAAGTGTTCTCTCCAAGATCCAGGTGAGATTCTCTATCTTCTAACATTTCACTGACGTAGGAAGCAAGAATTTGGCACAGAATTAATACTGGAGAAAAATGAGACCAGTGAAAGATCCTGAGCTCAGGAGAACCTGACTGTGCTGGGGAATCAGAGCTTTCACCCTGGGAAATGAACTGCTCTGAAAGAGTGGGAAGAAACCAGGAACAAAGGCTGAGTTCAAATGCTCAAGAGTAAACAACTCCTTCCTCCCCAAAAGGTCTGAGCTACCCTTAACTCATCTCTAGACATCCACAGAAATAAAACAGCCTGACCTTGAACCCAAGTGTTGGTGGAGAGGCTCAGGAACACACGCAGACGATCAACGTGATCAGCTATGTCCAATTTATTATTTAAATGAGTTAACTTTTATACAGTTTAGTTTGTTTCGGGCACATGCTTACAACAAGGTGATTGGATAGCTCAGTTTGTGCACGCGTTTCATGCTTTCAGTTCATTGGACTTGGTGCTTTGTCCACGAGATCTGACCTCATTCTTGGCATGTAAAGCCCTTCCTAATT